GAGGATCCCCCCCCCCCAATCACAATGAAAATTCTTCGCTGCATTCAAGCTTTTCTTCAGTAGCAGTTGATTACTAGTCCGGATCCCTGCCCACGTGATCAATGCATGCATTTGGTTTTGTGTAAATAAACCATTCATTAGCCAATTCTAATCCGCTACATCACATTTAAATACAAATGTGAATTTCAATATATTTTGGTTTCTTAATTCAAAAACCTATTAAATTTTAATTATAAAATGTTACTCTGTTTACTGAGTCCTGATGCCATGAGTACGGCAACATCATTTTCACTTTTCTGTGGCGGTCCCAACTACATCACGTGGCGTCTTATTGATGAGAATATCACATCTTTAATTCACACTTGTTCATAATCATCTGTGTCTACAGGTGCATTGTCTTAATAAGTGTCTGCTTAAAGTAAACAAGTGAAGGTTAATTGAATGGTTCTTATAGAAATAACAATTTAGACCACAATATTATTTTTTTAATTACCGTTAATTATTTTTTAATTAATCTAAATTATCAATTAAAACAAGTTAAGCTAAAATGTAATATATATATATATATATATATATATATATATATATATATATATATTATATATATATATATATATATATATATATATATATATATATATGAGTGACATCGTATCAAAGACGTACATCTGTTATTCTTAAAATAGTTTAGAAAAAGCCAATTTTTGTAACATGGCTGCATGCGATTTTAAATAATTATAATGATTTTTTAAGTTGAGTTTTTTCAAAATTCAACTTGAAGATTCTTAAATAAAATCATCAAAAAAAGTTTCAAAAAAACAAAAAAAAACTGCTTTTTCATCACTTTCTGAATATTACAGATTTTCATCTTTGATATGAGGCCATTCTTATGTAAGAAGTAGAAAACTTTTTTTTTCGATTAAATATTTTCCTTAAGTTCGCCAGTTATGATTTTTTAAAAAATTCTTTATTGAATTTACATTAACATAAACATTTTAAGTAACATTAATGCCACAAAAATAAACGTTCAATATTTATAATACGTACAACAAAAACGCGGTAACAAGATTAAGTTATTTTTTTATTTTATTTTTTTACCACTGTAGCAGAATTAGTGTTGTCCCAATGTAGGACCAAGACGAGTCAAGACTTGGTCTTGAGCACTCTGTCTTGGTCTTGGTCTTACTCAAGAGTCTCGAAACAGTCTTGCAGTTACTTATTACCTTACTACTATAGAGATATCACTATAATTTTTCAGATAGGAGAAACCTAACTAAACCAGAATGAAAATTTGGAAGAGTTAAATGCAAAAGTATATTAGTTATACCAATTCGTTACATATAGTAAAATTGTCAAGTATTAGTAACTATTTTGTCTTAATTATTTCACAAAAATTAATTCACAAAAACGATTTTTTTTTTTTTTTGACCAAGCTTAGCCTTGGTCTTGGTCTAGCAAGACCGATTTTGGGCAACACTAAGCAAAATAATTAAGATTAATAGGTTGTAATAACAAAAATATCTGAGTAAAATATTCAAATACATCAAAACAAGCTCCGCAAAGCGACAGCCGTATTAACGAATCCATTTATGGACAGTGAACAGGTGGATATGACGTAAGATCATTCCCAAAGGCACTGCTTACAAACAGAAGTGACCCTGATCTTTACCGTTACTAAGCTCCATTTCTTACTTTTGGTGACATAACTTCCCTGTTCCTTTAATTACCCATTCATTTACAAATGGAACCGGTTTATTTACGCACATGTCGAAGCGTGCTAGGGATTGACTGGTCCAAAATAGCTCATTGCAAGCAGGCCCCATGAAAAAAGGGGGCAGCCGGAGATGTGGCCTCAGGGCCCGACCTCGAAGGGGGATCGTTCGGTGGACAAGGGCTTATTTTTCACCTTCTAAATTGTTGCAGGAGGACGTTTTCACATAATCCGATAATATTCCAAAGGGTCGGTATTTATTTATAAAGAGTCCTAATATTTAACTGGTGCAGAATACATGTATTCCTTTCTTGTGATCCGATAATTGAGTACTAGCAAGGGGGAAAAAAAAAACGCCTAAATTACAGCTGAAATAGAATTCAAGTGATAAATATAGACATTTCACCTATCCAATACAAAAAAACTGTTCATATTTAGCTAAAAACTTGGAAAAGCACTATGTCTTGGAGGTATGGTGGGAACTGAGGGGCGTGAGTTCAGCGTGGCGTGACGTACACCAGTGCAAACACGATAAAATCATACATCTCTTAGCCTATCACTGGAAACATCTATTTATAAAAGCTAATAATAATAATACATTTTAAACTAAATAAGTCCACTTAGAGACGACAGGGTGAGAGAAAAAACGAATTGATATTTCTTGATGAAAGTTTCGAAGCTGGTTTTCTAGGCTGAAATGAATAAGAAACTCTACTGTACGTCTAGCTAAATCCTTGTAATAATAATTTTTAAAAATAAATAAATAGATAAAAAAACCAACCCTATGATCCCAGTCTCCATTCTCGTGGCGTATCTCTACCACGACCGCTTTTCTTTAGAGCTAATTATCTAAGCAAGTATTTATCAGAAACGTTAGGGACATTTAGCGCTTTTTTTATTGTACTAAAACCTCAGCGACAATGTAGCATTGACAATCTGCATGTTTGTTGTGATAAATAATGATTAGCAGTATAGGCATGAGGAATAATCGACAAATAAAAATTCCTTTTAGGACCGAACAAATCGGATATGGGATCAACATAAATATATCGAGCACTTTATAAGAGCTCTATTATTTCGTATTTATTTTAAGGCGTATTTTGTAATAATTTGAAGTTGTTACTTCCTTGCCCTACTAATCTATGGCCATAATAAAATACTTGATGTAAAATACTATTATATAAAAAGGGGGTTTAACATTATTATTTCATTTAACTACGACTTAATCATATTTCGACATTGGCTATTTATTGCGCTTAAATATCTTGTTGACGCAATTACATTCATAGTTATTTCTGTTTTTCACATGTCTAAAAAAAGAAAACAAAGAGTTTTAAACTTACATAAGCGTATTAATATTCAGCCAGATTGAATAAACCACAAAAACCAGATAATTCGTTTTCCTCAAGCCTAGTTCTAATACGATTGGTTAGATCCTCGCCTATCCCAAGCCTTTGCGATTGTACTTCACAACAGGTTTCTCAGGATCCGTCACACACTTAGTGATAATTGCTCCCGGAAGAAATCACTCTTTAGATTCACTACAAGGCAAACTGGATAAGAGTTCTGAATAGTACTGAGCCAAAAAAGACATGATGGCTGACTACTCCCGTCAAGGAGTTAGCCACGTCCTTTCTAATCGTGCTTAGTTCCAATAACCCTCTTGCGTCATTATGAATTGTTTTTATTTTAGCAAATATTATAAGGATGAACTACACTTTGAAGTTGAGGAAATTATCGGACTCGAAGTAAAATGAACAATTGGACTCTATATTTCATCTCCTAAACGGATAAATGTCATATTTAAATGTTGATAAGCATGATTTCATTCAAATACACATTTTTTTTAAATGACTGTGGGGGTACTCATGCAACCAGTGCTAATTACTGTCTTAAATGTGTTAAATGTTAAATCTCTTAAATGTGTAAAGTCGAGAAACTTATTTACGAAATGTATGTTAAATATGGACGCTAGTAGCACTCTCGATTTATTTATTTTGGTTTAAAGGGCGAACAACTTCTGTGGTTATCATCGCCCATTTTCTTGAATTTTCTTTCAACTTGATAGAGTTTTAGATATTATTGTAAAGTCCCATCTCTTTTAAAAATTTGGTTAGTTTGTTCAGGTAACAGTCCTCAGTTAGAGGCTTGGCGAGGGATCTAAGTATGCCTAAGTACGCTATTTTCCTGCTATATTTAGGACAGTCTTCAAATATGTGCTTCACTGTAAGGTTTGTTTGACAGTTCTGATAGTGTGGAGTTGGCTGTTGTACAGTAGACAGCGGTGGGTCAAGCAGCTATGTTCAATGCGTAAGCGATTAAATATGGACTGTCTGGAGCATATCCACTTCTTCACTGATGGTTTGACCAGTCTAAGTTTATTTGTCATGTGCTGATCCCACAGATTTTGCCATTTACCCCAGATGCATTCTCTTATTGGCTGAATGATTTCAGTACTTGTTAGATGACAGCTTTTAACTTTATATAACAAGTGGGCTTCAGTTGGCATCATATCATTATATCATTGCCCTTTACGCCAGGCTTGGTACCTAGATAAAAATTACCGTTTTGCTCTTGGTTTGAAGATTATGGAGCAAGCAATAGATTTCACTTACGACAGGATTGTCTGAGCAAGGGTTATTGATGCTTCGGAGCGCGCTCAGTGAGGCTGAACAGATTACAATAGTACTATAATCCTACTTGGAGGCCTTTTACGATGGTTGTCGATTCAGCAGTAAAAACTGAACATGTTTTATTTAATTTATACATTTGAAGTATATTGTTACAAATTATGGTACATGGTGTCGAATTTTCTGTTTTGGATGCATCAGTGTAAATAATTACGGAGTTTTTGTTAAACTTCGTATAAGCAAGGAGAAAATTATTTGAAGGTTTTGATATGTTTGATTATTTGTTTTTATACGTTTACAATATCCATAAACATCGAATGTAAAGATAGGTAGGATTTCATTTATATATCCATCAAGAAGTCAAACTCAGAACCATTCATGCAGAAGCATGAATTATAAAATAAAGCATTTTTAAGGAAATAACCCAGCAATTCAGTCTTCACTTCGATTTGAACGATAGCAGATCAATTAAGAACTCACAAACATTTTTTTACAGTACAGGCATAATCTTACAATAAGTAACAACACTTTAGCACGTTAGCACAAAGATGTTATTTAACTTTCATTCAAAATTTTCATGATAGCACATTTACAATGAGTGCATGAATACCCCAATTTTACAAGTTTCAAAATATAATAATATTTAAATACTTTTCCAGAGATAAAGATGAAGATAAAACCAAGAAAGAGAAAGCTCCTATTCAAGAAGTGAGTTCATTCCGGAGAGCCATACCACAGGTAATGATTAAATTAAATTAATAATTGTAACTTAAAACAAATATTTCATGTAATAATTGATACTTAGACAAAATATTTTATGTTACAATTGAAACTTAGAAGAAATATTTTATGTAAAGTTCCCCTTCAAACCAAAACAAACGAAAATCTCTAAATTTATGATTCGATTCATTCGAATCATCCAAAGGATTGTACTCGTACGTTGCCTGTATCACCACCGAGAAAGAATATTTCTCGAAACCCTTCACCAATTTCGACATATCCTTCGTTTGGTTTGAATAGGTACTAATTAACAAATTAGAGCAAATTGAGTTTTCACTCATAAATCACTTACAACAAAGTATTCTGTATTCCAAATGAGTTTTAGTGCCATCAGCGGAAAAATAAAGAAACTAGTAGCAGTATGACAAAGTTCTACCTACTGATAGCTTTTGGAACTAATTGGTTTAAGAAGGTTCTAACTGCAAGGTTCTTCATTAACAGTTATTTTAAACCGATTTTTTTTATCGCCCTTTAACATTACTACATTTATCCCACTTTTACAAAAACTTTCTCTTTTAATACTTTAAATACATATTAATTAAATTGAGATTTATTACGAAAACTTTTGAGATTCACCTCAAGTTTAGTAAAGAAATGATGTAATTTCCTATCCAGTCGCCTAAAAGTTGCTCTGTTTTCAGCGAAAATGACAACAGTTAACTGTTGCAAAGCTTTTATTTCATATTTTTCCGTGATTTGGGGTGTGTTGTAATAAACATAATTGCCCAAAAATCACATTTTATTTATAAATACAAAAAAATTTAAAATATTGAAATTATGATTTTCTCCTATATCTCCGTCATATGAACTGTATGTATTCCTCAGTGGCAAACTGATGTTACCTCTTGCAATAGTTTTAACAATTAAAAAATCTATTTTCGCTTAAAGTGAATTCTGAATTTACTATGGAGCAATGTTAAATTACTTATATCAAATAATTTTAATGTCATCGCTTCCTATTCAACAAAAAACGTGACACGCTTAAAAAAAATCTTAAATTTCCAAATTTTCTGTTGGAAATTGGGCAATTGTTTATAAGAACTTTTATTGTAGACCTTGATATCTACAATAAATCATTTAAATATTTCCTTCTACTTGCTGGACACCCCGTATAACCCGTATTTTAATCGGTTATTTCAGAAACGTGATATTTTCATTAATTTTAGACTTAATACGAAAAACGGTATTATAGTATAATTCTAGAAGATAAAAAAGTTTAAAACAATCTATAGTAAAAACAAACAAATTTTACATTATTTATATTGGTTTAAGCAATGCATATTTCATCAGATAACAAAAAATTATGTTTTGAAAATTATACTCTGGTGCCTAAAACAACATTTTTCTTTAATTATAACGTGACCAATGAATTAAAAATATAGAATTGTTTCTAAAATTTATTTCGTATAACCTAAAAAGGATAAAGTTATTTAATAAATCAACATAAAAAAAAATAAACGGGGTACGAAATATTTTTATTTGATTCGGCTAATCGATTCTTCATACCCACTATGAAACGCAAAACCTCCAATTTTAGAGTGCTGATATCTGCACTTAAAACCTTGTCTCACCACGAAAATGTATTCTGGAATGACAAAGATCTATCTGAAAAATTTAAATATTCAAAATTATGTTAATAAGTGGTAAAATTATGTCATCGACGAATGCAAACTTAAGTTCACAGCTTCAAGGCATTATACAAAAAAATTATTAGTCTAAGTAACAAAACATTACCAATGACCAATGACTTGGTTATTTGGACTCAGGAAACCTCAAAATATGTGTTTCCGTTAAAACTCAGATTCGAAAAATTTCAAGATCGCAATACTGTTCCTCACTATATACTTCATATATAGGTAAGTGCAAGTAAAATCGAAAAAAAAAAATTAACAGTAATTGACCATGGAAAAATAAACATATGAATTTGGTGTTTAGAAAACCAAACAAGCAGTTAATGTGTAGATTATGGATTAGAAAATTTATTTTATTATGACTGTAATGGCACTTCTGAGTTTTCCACAGAGATAGCCAGGTAATATACACGTGACGTCATAATTTAGCGCTGATATGAACATAATATACGACACAATGGTGAGACATTGAAATTTAGGAACAATCAAATAATGCAAATCATTCATTTTCATACATTAAATACACACACACACACACACACACACATATATATATATATATATATATATATATATATATATATGTATGTATATATATATATATATATATATATATATATCTGTGTGTGTGTGTGTGTGTGTGTGTGTGTGTGTATTTAATGTATGAAAATGAATGATTTGCATTATTTGATTGTTCCTAAATTTCAATGTCTCACCATTGTGTCGTATATTATGTTCATATCAGCGCTAAATTATGACGTCACGTGTATATATATGTGTATATATATACAAAAACTGTCATAGATTTATGTAGATCACAACAATAGACATTCGCTCCTTCAAGACACGAATCTACAAGATTTCTGTAAGCAAAGTTCATTTTTTTTTTTTTTTTTTTAAACACAGAAATTTTAAATATTTTATATATCTGAAATATTTATATAAAATAAAATAAAGAATATTAGCCTATTAGGATATCAGTTTCACCTTTACTGTACAGTAATCCAAAAATTGACTTAAAAAACCCGTTAGTCCACGCCATTTACATGAGAATATAACCATCATTATTTCAAAACGACAGCAACTAGATATTTCATAAGCATTTATGTATAAATCGTACAGTATTTTCGAATCATCATATCTAGGACTTGAAAAAAAAATTATATTTAATTTGGTTTATTTATTTAATAAGGAAGCTTTATAATCGAATGTGAAAAAACATAAAAAACTAATTTAAAAAAAAGAGATTGATAGCGACAGATTTATTTTTAGTATCTCAACATTTGAAAAAGGAACTCACAAAATAAGGACACCATCTACTTGAAAAGAATAAAATATTAAAACATGACCATTCATTTAAGGAATTTGTTTTTGCTGACTACGCCCTTGAAACGTGCTAATTGTTTTTAAAGTAAATTGTTACTTCAACACAATTACAATAATTTTAAAATATGTAACTTCACCAAATTGTGTGTGTTAGATAAAATGTATCAATATTTTAATTAATATATTTATATTTTTTTCCAATAGAAAATTGGGTATCTTTCCATAGAGCCAGAAAACAAATAAATAAGGCAAATAATCGCATTCTTAAAGAGCAGTATTGTGGAGAAGCACAACGAGTATCCATAAACCTTCCGAGAGAGGAAGTTGTTGAAGAGTTTGGGAAGATTACAGGATACGATTACCTCAGGAATCGGCTGAATAGAATAGGAGTGGCAGACTCTCCACACTGCAATCTATGCGATACGGGAGGACATATAGATTCAGCGGATTTAAGTGTATACTCGCGCTTGTTGAACTTCAGATACCACGCCGTACAAATCGGAATAGTACTAGTCTGCAAGATCTCAAATAGCGGAAGCTGAAAACGAGAGTCATAATTAAAAAATATATATGTATAATACCAATTAGTATATTTTAAATGTATCAGAGAGAATATAATTACCTAGTCACTAGGACTCAGTGCGAGAGTTTTCGCTGGGGTATACTAGTTGGGCAGTAATTTGCAGTTTTTGGCAACCCATCACGTGGTATAAAAATAATGCGATATTTACATTTAAAGAAAGTATATTAATTTTTTTTTTTTTAATTAAAATTTGTTGATTGTACCTAGTCCTGTCATAAATATAGGTACAAGGAAATATATACAGATTTCAACAGAAAAATTAATATTTTCAAAAACTTTATTAGAAAATAAATTTTTTATATCTATAGAGAGTAAAATATAAAAGAAATTACACAAAATGTCCTCCTTTTGCCTTGACACAGGCATTTAATCTACGTGGCCAGTCGTCAATAGCAGCACGCAGAACTTCTTGAGGAAAGCGTTCAACTGCTCGGACCAGAGATTGTTTGAGGCTTTACAATTTAGGATGTGCTCTGTGGCATGCCATCCTCTCTAGTTTGAACCAACGCAGATAATCTAGTGGGTTGAGATCCGGGCTTCCTGAGGGCCAATCTGAGGCAAAGATAAACCCTGGAATGTTCTTTTGCAGCCACTGCTGAGTTGACCTGGCCTTGTGAGCTGCAGCGGAATCCTGCTGGAAAACCCAATGACTTCCAGCAGAGTATCATTTAGAGGCTTGACAACAGGTAGGATATCGTTTCGTACCCTCTCCCCAATAATTAGAGGTAACAAAGAAAATTAAAATAAATTATAAATAAACTACACGAACGAATAAAATGTGTGAACTAAAACCGATTAAGAAAAGTCGAATAGGCTAAGGCTGAGGCCTAGTTGTAGGTATGTAATTATTTAATTGATACCTAAATGTTACTTTTATTTAAAGTGTCATTTTTATTAAAAGATAATAATATATAACAACATATCCTAGGATTTTATGATTCAATCACTCCTCGATTTTTACTTATTATTCTTATCACATTTTTCCTCGGCTAAATAGCAAGACTGTGAAAAAACGTATTTAATTTGAGGTTGTACAGAAATGAAAGATTTTTTGACTTTTTTATATTATTTATTTTTAGCTGAAAAGTTCTAGAAATGTACCAATGCTATGAAGGCTGTCTCCCGTCTCTCCTGTATTTAATCTAAAGAAATAATTCATATATTCAAGTGTATTATTTTAAAGATATTTTCAGGTATATATAATAAGTAAAAGAAACAAATAAATAAATAAAAATCCTTACAACTATACAATCATATACACAAATTAATTTTAAATATTCAAAAGTATATTTGTTCGTTAAACAATAGTTATGTTGAATTGTAGCACATAAAAACTGCCGCCATTTCTTTCTTTTTTTTTTTTTTTTTTTGTCCAACTGCCCTCCCCTAATCGAAAGTCTACACCAATGTTACAAATTTTTCCCTACTTTTAACCGGAACATAACGTATCCATTGCTACCCACAGTGAATAAAAATAATATATTTTGTACTGTATTCTAAAACAAAGAAATGGAAACGATAAAATATCATCTTAAGCTTACTTCCCGCCTTAAATTTTTTATAACTTCAAGAGATATCGTAAAAAAAGTTTATTGTCCCGAAAGGTCATAAAGTTTACTACCATTAGATTGGTCTAGCGCGAACCGTTGTTATTAATTTCGAGATAGCGGTGCACGTGAGGCGCGGACAAATAAACACAAGCACATCTTCCGAGCACACCAGGATTTCCCCCGTGTTCATTAAATACATTAATTGGTGTTGGTTTATTAGGTGCTGTCATCAGACAAGCTTCTGTTGGAAAATTGCTTCATTAATTAAATCTTCTGGTTTATGATGATAATTGACATTATCATTTTTGAGATAAGAGATTTTGTGCGTTTCTTCGGGAAATCTTCTCACGAGCTGATGACCTTGCTATTCAAACAAGTTCAGACGGTATAAACAAAGAAGTAAAAAATCCACTCCCACTGGTGCGAATTCTCGCGTGGTGCCAAAAAAAGAAAATTGAGTGATCATCGGTTGATCGCACATCAAATCTAAATTTTCCGATGGTACAAATTAAAATTTCAAGGAAAAACAAAATTTATAAAATCTAGCAATAGGATACGCTTATATCTCTTCTAGAAGTGATACGAGCGAGACTCGAAGTCGTTATCGTCAGAGAGATTTTAGCAGAACTATTTTAATTATAGCAAGCAACTTATAATATGAAATTAGAACTGCAGGCACACCAGTAGATTTAACTACAACCTGTAATGAAATATTAAATAAATCAGTAGTGTTTCTTTCTCATTCCGTGTCTAATATTAGTTATAAAGGTAGGTTTACACGGTACAATTAACACATGTCTTGTCAGGAACTAAATGAATTCATCTTCATCCGATTTATCCGGAATTGAAGACTGGATCTCAATTAAAGTAAGGACTATGCCAATCAACAATATTGTGATTTGTAATAAGAAATTTTAAATAATAATAATAAATAATAAAAGGCTTAGCGAACCCGAAGGTTCGATGCCGAAACCACCAATCGCTTATTACACACCTCCCTCCACCGTTCGCCGTCCAAGCCCAGTCCCTTCTATTAATCTAATCTTCCCACCTTCGCTTCGGTCTACCCCTCGGACACTTATCATTCGGCACAGCAAATATTAACCTTTTAGGAATTCTCTCATTACTAAGCCCAACAACTTTACAAGCCCATTTGATTCGCCTCGATGAAATAAGAAATTTTAACCAATTTAATTTTTTTAACTTTGAGATAAATATAATTGCCTGTCATCAGGGCTAAAAATTAAAAATTATATCAGAAAAAAAAATATAAAAGTCTTTAAACAAGAGAAGAAATAGGGAGAACCTATAAATGTAATATAAATATTTTTTTATTTTTTATTTAGACATATAATATTCTGTCTCATGGACAATGATTATAGTGATAAATGAATACATTCACACCATATATACAGAAAATGATATAAATATAAGGTAATATAACAGTAATAACAACAAAACAATGTACTAAGAAAACGTTTTTGTGTCTCATAGATAAATAAAAAAGATAAGTATATAAAAATCAAAAATAAATTAACTAAATAATTATATAAATAAAACAATTCAATAAATAAGAAGATTGCCAAACTTAATAAACTGCGTTTTTTGGGTTTTTTTTTTTTTCTTTCCTTTTTAGGCTATGTGAGGGTTTTCCTAGCCAATTTAATGCAGAGTTAAAATACCTCCCGGCACAGGGACGCGAACTCGTAATTATTTTTTCGTCTGTAACTTGGTTGTCGGGAAACGCGCGGTGCTGAGCACATGTATTAACCCGCTCGGCCACCCCGTCCCCTAATAAACTGTGACTGTTTATCCTGACTATTTTTCATCTTTATAATTTGAATTTTTTTTTTTGCATATTATTTTCAATATAATGATTTGGCTTATTTCCTCTCTTCCTCTCCAAAAAAATGGGGTTATTTCCTCTAGCATTCCTGTTGAGTAGTCTAATAAATGCTGCTTCAACCAATACTTGAGAGTATTTAATATAAGTTGTCATAATACCATTAATTTCTTTAAAAAGACAAGCCTATTCATTTAATAACTCCATTTTGAGCATTTTCGTTTTAATTATGTAAAGTGTTTTGTTAAGTATGAATTAATTTCATGTTTTTTTTTTTGTAATATATGTTTTTTTATTGAATGATTTTATTTTATTGTTTTCAACCTTGCAGGAATGTAAAGTAATTAAGAGCGTAATAATGTATCACTGTTGGGTTCCTTAATTTTTTTACCACCTCGTTCTTTAAAATTTTATTATTTAAAAACATCTAAAAAACGCAGTAAACTTTGACCTTTAAATTGGTGAAAATTAATAAATATATGAACACTGAAGAATCATAATCCAAGGACAAATTGATATCAATTTCGGATTTAAAATCTGAATTTAATGATATCCTCTCAATTCTAAATTGAAGAAGAATTGATTAGACTATTGGTATAGACAGCAATGCTGAGGTAAATAAGCATAAACAAAAATTTATGTTATCATTTTCCTGGTAAAATTCTAAAATACAATTTTCTGACAGCAACTCATTAATATTATAATTCAAATACCTAACGTGTTTTTATTGTTATCGTTTGTTTTATAGCAGGAAATAACTTTAAATTACGTCGAAAAAATATTATTTCATTAAAGCGGATTAATTTACTTTTCGCAGAAATACATTTTAGTATTATATTACTAATTACATCAAATCAGTAAATGTTAATAATAATGCCATAATTTGTAGGGGAGAGATATTAGTCAACTGCCTCGGGCTTCAAAACCTACATTGCGCCACCATATTTGCACCACAATTAAATTAGCGTAGTAACTCTATCAAACAGGATTTCATTCATCATAGATTTAGGATCTGCCTTATCAGAATCTCTTCAGCCAAATGATGACAAGGACAAATTATATGGAGGTCACGAGTCTTCTTTATTTATTCTCAAAGGGGACGCGAGGTATGAAGCAAATATCAACGGTTTAAAAAATAGGGGTAACCAAATACTTCAAGGTTCGTTACGATGATGACTAGATATTTACGCCAAAACGTATTTACTTAACTATAATAACTTAACTATAAAACTAAAAACTAAATAAAATAAAATATCTAAAAAATAAAAAGGAGGGTCTTTGGTTCAGTACTTTGTAAGGAAGTACTGTTCTGAGGCCAACGGTTGTATAGGAATATGATTGTGACTAGATCACGCTCAACCGCCATGTTTTCTCCATTAATTAATTATTCAATTAAGGGTCCCCTCTTAAAAAGACTGAGTATGGCCCAGGAGGGTTTTCTGTTCCCAGGGTCGATACACAGCTGATATAACATAATAACTATCAGACAACCAGGCTCGAACCCTGGATCTTGAGCATAGAAACTGAGTGCCTAACTCATTGAACTACCTTGATCTGTAAATAAAGATATAATAATTTTCCAAAATATTTATTTGAACTGTGAATCTTAAAAATATGTGAATTAGCATTTTCTTTATTTATATTATATCAAACCAATCAGTATATATTGTTCTAGGATACACATACTAAAGAATATGTTAAGGAAAATAAACTTTAATCGTAGTTTTAAATTTCATAGTATTAACAGCATCAACAACTGGTCACGAAAATGGAAGCGGATATGCATATCGTCTTATTACATAAGCACACAACAAAAATAAAAAAATATGGTTCAATGAATCAGACATCCGCTCAATCAAATACTGAATCAATCCCAACACAATTTTCGGAGGCCTGGATTTATAAAGGGGCAGACTGGACATTTGCTAGTTTTCGAGTAACGAGAATATTTGAGGTGCCAAAAAAATAGAAAAACAAATTTAAGGAACGGAAAAAAATAAGTTTTTTAAAGTACATTAATGATTTTCTTTTTCATAAATACAATTCAAATCCTCATGTCAATTTAAAGCACAGCAGAAAAGCGTGTGATATTCCAGCTCTGGCCGTAAGAGAGATAAACAGCCTGTAAATCGGGACCTGAATCCTCCCACCAACGCCTCGGCCCGTCGCCATGACCGCAAGGTAAACGACCTTATCTGGAACTCGACAACTGCTTTTTCTCATTTTATATTGTGCTGTTAAAAATTTGACGCACACTTGACTTCCAACGTTTTAGGTTTATGATAGCTTAGTTAACAAGGTTTGCAAATAACTGCCTTCTCAGTTAAACAGTAATTAAATGAACAAAACCGGCGTTCCGTTACAACTGAACTGTTTCAAAGTTGATCTTTGAAGCTAGAAAAACTGACCAAATTTATTCCCATAGACCATCCAATAGAACGAGCCGTTTCTAGGCATATAGGCATATCTAAGAAAAGACATTTACGCGTGCGTATGCGAAAGTATTAGATGGAATTTAATTAAATTGATAAGGTGCCATTTAACCACTAATCCGCAAAATTTCTGAAAATCAGATAAACGGTAGCAGATGACATGCCCGGCTTATAGATTTGTTGCAAAAAAATGTTGGACTAATAGACTCGGAACTAAATTTGTTCCTTGGTGTATAAAACTTAAAATGTGTTTAGAAATTGTTTATTCTGGTCACCAATTTTTTTTTTTTTTTTTATCTCCCAAACAAATTCAAAGTTTCCATGCCTTTGGTTGCGAAAAAGCAAATGAATTACCTCAATAACATTTTTTGTAGGCATTAGTAGGGATGGTGAAGATAAAACAAAACCAGATAATTATACTAATTGTTGATTAAATTAATTTTTAATGAAAAAAAATGATCAGTTCTGTGATTATTTTTAAAATTATATTCGATATTCCTATATGAAATTTTGAATTTTTTTTACACTGAAATTTGCAATTATATTACTGATGTTCATATTAATAAAAAACAATATGAATCGAGTCAGAAGAGGCTTATCAAAATTCACTTCTACATTCAGTAGATTTGCGTAGTGATTAGAATAAAGTGATCCCAATTCCGAAGGATTATATTTAGTGTAGAGAGGGGAGTAGCTGAATGGTAAGAGGCTGACTTACAATGCTCAAGATGCCATGTTCGAATCCGGTTGATGGCAGATACGTTATTTATTCTGTTTCGTCACCCGTAGATCGATATTACGCATGTCTATAATGTATGTGAGACTCTCCTGATGCACATCCATCCTCTATAAAGTGGATGCCCTAAATCGAAAAACTAGATATGATACCAGGAATCCATCAAACAATTTTGATTTATCAGTTAATGAAAACAGCAGTTAAACCTTTAAAAAAACC